CATGAATCCATACCACTAAAGGGTGATGTGTCCTATTTGTTTTGATGCCTTAAGGCTACCCTTGCCTTTGTTATCTGGTCCTAACCAGATATTTTCATAAAGGATCTTCATCGAAGGTGGAGCTCACAGTTACCTGATCAGGAAAGAGAAATAGTTTGAACTGTTGGTCTTTTTGTCCAGGCTGTACCAGTTGAGAGTTGTATTAGATGCAGTTCCCTTCTCCCTCTTCCTGGTACAGCTCTTGACTGACGGTGTGTGGGATCACATTGCACATAAACAGGCAAGTGAGACTTTCTAAGAAGATCAGCGTTTTCGCTTACTAATACACAAGGTAATTCAGATGAACGTGAAAAACAGGTTTGATTTGTATGCAGTGATTCTGGTGGAGGAAAGGTGACTGACAGCACCTGGCTTGGGCATTACACGAGTTGGGACCTGTGCTTAGACCCAAAAGTAAGGGACTGGTGATCATCAGGATATTTTTCATCCCACTACAGAGATTCTGTTGAATTTGTGCCAGAGCCCTTAGACCAAGAGCTGCCAGGTCCAGGTACCATGGGGATACAGGAACGTCCTAGTAAGGCAGGAAGCACTGACTACCATTTGCCGGTTTGTACTGGATTGTCAGAAAAGTCTTGATGTGTTTTTTTGTGCAAAACTGCGTCATTTTCCAATGACCCTATATTCAGCAGGGTAGTCAAGACCAAGTGGTTTGTGTGGTGGTCTTAGACTTAAAATTTCAGGCTCGCCCCATCTTGGTCCCACTGCTTTTAATCTTGTTTTTTGTTGTTTTTGTGTGTGTGTGTGTGTTTGTTTTTGTTTTGAAAGAGATTTTTGCTATAAGGCACATGCGCTGGCTGGAGACACAGGGAGAGACAGAAAGCAAATCACCTCCCAGGAGGATGGCCACACTAATCCCTTCTCCTCCATTCTCCTCAGAATCTCGGATGCACGTGAACCCAGCATGAATTTTAAGCTATCAGGTCCAGGACTTGAACCATGGTCAACTATGAGAGTCCAATGACGTAACCATTAAGCCATCTGCTGGTCCCAATATTATTACCCAACTACCATGGGGAGTGTGGGATCACTGTAGTCATCACAAACCCAGCTGCCCATAGGGTCTGCAAAGCAGGCAGATCCAACACATCTGGCTCTGGGGCATCATTAGCAGTATAAGACCAGGGCACAAGGAGGAGGTGGCAGACATGTGTATTTTGGACAGTGCTGTGGTTATGCCCACCATGCACACATGGAGGCAGAAATCCACATGTGGTCCGTGCTACTGGTTATATAATCTGTCCCCTGATGGCTTGTGTCACCCATTGTACCCCCATCCCTGTTCTTGTTCTGCACAGCCTCAGCCCTGATGCAGTTGCTCTAAGGTCACTCCTCTCTCCTAGGCTGAGGAAGTGCCTTCAGTCAGACCCCATTCCCACTCCTTAGGCAGTCCAGCTTTCTTTGCTTGGTAAGGCATTGAGTTTCAGAGTTGGTTCTCCTTCTCTTTTCTTTTTTGTCCTTAACAGTTTGCATACTGTTTTTCTGTCTTTATTGGCAGTGATTTCAAGAGTGGACAGAGGGAACCAGCAGTTAGCGTAATGGCTATGTCGCTGGACTCCCACGTAGTCGACCGCGGTTCGTGTCCCGGACCCGGTGGCTTAAAACTCACGCCGGGCGCGTGTGCGTGCGTGCCCAAGATCCCGAGAGGAGAATGGAGGAGAAGGGATTGCTGTGTGACCATCCCCCCTGAGGGGTGATTTCTCGCTTTCTGTCTCTATGTCTCTCTCTCTCTGTCTGGCGAGCGCACGCGCCCTACAGTGAAAATCTCTCCAAAAAAAAAGAAAAAAGAAAAAAAAAAAGTGGACAGAAACAACTATGTGTTCAGTTTGTTCTGTTTCTGTAGGTGTTTTTCTTTACTCTCTATATTTAGCAAACTTGACCACCCCAGAAAACAGAATGTTACAGTAAAGGTCTTTTTAATTGCCAAAGGGTACAGGGAGGGGCACCCGACAATAAGGTTTGAGGTGGAAACATCACAGTCCCCTCTTCATTTCTTCATCCTGTTGGGATTTGGGCATGCATACACACACACTCAGAGTAGAGTGTCTTAAAAGCCTATGAGGCCGGGGGAACCAGCAGTTAGCGTAATGGCTATATCGCTGGACTCCCACGTAGTCGACCGCGGTTCGCGCCCCGGACCCGGTGGCTTAAAACCCATGCCAGGCGTGCGTGCGTGCCCAGGGTCCCGAGGAGAATGGAGGAGAAGGGATTGCGGCATGGCCATCCCCCCTGGGGGGTGATTTCTCGCTTTCTGTCTCTCTGTCCCTCTCTGTCTGTCTGGCGAGCACACGCACCCTATAGCGAAAATTTCTCAAAAAAAAAAAAAAGCCTATGAGGCCGGGAACCAGCAGTTAGCGTAATGGCTATGTCACTGGATTCCCACGTAGTCGACCACGGTTCTCATCCTGGACCCGGTGGCTTAGAACTCACACCGGGCGCGTGTGCATGCGTGCCCAAGATCCCAAGAGGAGAATAGAGGAGAAGGGATTGCGGCGTGGCCATCCCCCCTGGGGGGTGATTTCTCACTTTCTGTCTCTCTGTCCCTCTCTCTCTGTCTGGCGAGTGCACATGCCCTATAGCGAAAACCCCTCCAAAAAAAAAATGCCTATGAGGCCAAGATTTGAACTGTAGTCAACTATGTGAGATCCTGCTACCTTAACCACTAGGCTACAAGGTCAACCAGAATTCATTAAAAAAAATTTTTTTTTTTTTTGGAGATTTTTGCTATAGGGCACGTGCGCTCACCAGAAAGAGAGAGAGACAAAAAGCTAGAAATCACCCCCCCAGGGGGGTGGCCACACCACAGTCCCTTCTCCATTCTTCTCTCGGGATCTTTGGCACGCACACACATGCGCCCGGGGTGAGCTTAAGCCATTGGGTCCAGGACTCAGACCACTGTCGACTACATGGGAGTTCAACGACATAGCCATTATGCCAATTGCTGGTCCCAGAACTCATTAAATTTTAAGTAATATATGCTTAAACTTAAAAGAACAGTATCTAAAGAGTACTGGAGCCTGCCTAAAAGGGCTCTGCTTGCCATGTCTGCTTGCCAAGACAGTGGTGGCTTCAGATCAGCAATGGGAAGTTGGTTCTGAACCACTGAATAAGACAGGGGTACATGAGCTTACACAGATACTAAGAAATGAAGAAAAGATATCTCCTTGCAGTATGTTGCTCACCAAGAGTTAGAGGAAGTGACTGGATTCAAAAGTCACTTTCTGCAGGACCAGCAGTTAGCGTAATGGCTGGACTCCCATGTAGTCGATCGTGGTTCGCGTCCCAGACCCCGGTGGCTTGAAACTCATGCCAGGCGCGTGTGCGTGCGTGCGTGCGTGCGTGCGTGCCCGCGTGCCCAGGATCCCAAGAGGAGAATGGAGGAGAAGGGATTGTGGTGTGGCCATGCCCCCGGGGGGTGATTTCTCGCTGTCTCTCGCTCGCACGCTCTCTCTCTATCTGGCAAGGGCATGCGCCCTGTAGCAAAAACCTCTCAAAAAAAAAAAAAAAAAAGAGTCACTTTCTGCGACCAGGAGATGGTGTCATTGTTACATCGCTGGACTCCCACATGGTCGACCATGGTTTAAGTCCCAAATCTGGTGGCCTCAAACTTACACCATGTGCATGTGCACGTGTGTGCCCAAGAGCCTGAGAGGAGAGGAGGGGTACTGAAACTGGATGAGAAAGTTTGGTGAGGAGCTGGAGCTGGGTGTATTCAAAGTCTCCTGGTATTCGTAGGTCCATGTGAGAAAGACTGGCACTTTCATAGCCTCTCTTTCTCTGGAGACGCCACTGAGCTGAATGCTGCCCTCCCAATACTGGCTTCACACACACACATGAAGTTCTTGGCATGTTGACAAAGCTTGGCTTTTCATCTGGAGGCCCTCAGTGCATCCTTTTCAGCCGCACGCGCGTGCATGCGTGTGTGTATAGGACTCTTCTGTTTTCTGGGAGTTGGTTGTGATGCAACAAAAGGGAAATATGGTGGCCAGCAGGTGACGTGGTGGTTAAGGCACTGGACTCCCTCCCTATCTCTCTCTTTCTAGTGAGTGTGTGTGACCTATAACAAAATTTTTTTTAATAATTATTTTTATTTATTCATTCATTCTTTTTTTTTTTTTTTTTAATTTGACCAGAGAGAGACAGAGGTTGAGAGTGAGAGAGGAAGTGAGAAAGCAAGCCACCAGGTTCAGGACTTGAACCCTGGTCGGCCATGTGGGAGTGTCCAGCGCCTCAATCACCACGCCACCTGCTGGTCCCTAACAAATTTTTTTAAAAGACAAAATTAAATAATTCTGGGGGCTGCAGGTGGCCTGGTGGTTTTGGACTCCCACATGGCTGACTAGAGTTCAAGTCCTGGACCTGATGGCTTGCTTTCTCACTTTCTGTCTCCTTCTCTTTTCTCTGGTCAAATTTAAAAAACTAATGATGAAAAATAATTTTTAAAAAATAAAAATAATTTTTTAAAGGAAATATGTTGAGTGGTTCTTTCTGGCTCCTTGAGCTGTTCTGCATTAGATTGTAGAGATGATTTCACCTGCATTTCAAAGCATGATCTTCAGATGGTAAACATCCCCCCTTCCTATGTATAAGTCCAGTATGGTTCACAGCTGAGATGTCCCACAGCCTAATAGGTTGAACGCTATTTTGGTACCTCTCCTCTCCAGCTGTGTGGCCTTGGAAATTGCTTCCTGAGATGATAGCAACAGCTTCTCTAATTCTAACTCAGCTCTTTCTCTAAGCATTCCAGACTTCATCATAAGGTAGATTTGGGGAGCCTAAGTGGCCAGGCAAGGTTCTTTTTCTATTGTTCGAGAATTGGGATTTCCAAGAGCAGGGGATGGGAGGAAACTATATCCCTGGGTGGGAAGTCTCCAACTGTTGCTGCAAGGCTCCCACTAGGCAGCACAGAAATGGAGACCTGGGACACCTTGTTTCCCCAGGTTTCTCTGGCCAGTGTCGCTTCCACCCATCTACAAGCATGGGGAATATCTTTGCAAACCTCTTCAAGGGCCTTTTTGGCAAAAAAGAAATGCGCATCCTCATGGTCGGCCTGGATGCTGCAGGGAAGACAACGATTCTGTACAAACTGAAGCTCGGTGAAATTGTGACTACCATTCCCACCATAGGTGAGAGCCCACGGCAGGGGTTGCAACTGGGGGACTAGGGCAGGTGATGCCTGGCTCAGTGGATGCAGTGGGGCTCATACTGTAATCCTGTAACTCTCAGGTTTCAACGTGGAGACTGTAGAGTACAAAAACATCAGCTTCACTGTGTGGGACGTGGGTGGCCAGGACAAGATCCGGCCTCTGTGGCGCCACTATTTCCAGAATACACAAGGTGAGTAGCCAGACTTGTGTATGGATGTTTGCACATGACTTTAAGCCATCCCTTGTCCTATATACCAGAGGGATGCCCAGCCTCCAGGGCGCAAGGCTATATAGCATTATGGCCAAGAAGACTCATAAGCCTTTAGGACAAAACGGCCAGTTTTGATCCTCAAGAGTTGAGTCTGTTGCCTCTAGGGGCAGTTGGGTAGGGTGGTGTTGGTTTTTCTGTTTTGTTTTGTTTTGTTTTGTTTTGTTTTGCATTTGCAATAATGCTGACTTCATTGCAGGCTTGATCTTTGTGGTGGACAGCAATGACAGAGAGCGTGTGAACGAGGCCCGCGAGGAGCTCATGAGGATGCTGGCTGAAGACGAGCTCAGGGATGCTGTCCTCCTTGTGTTTGCCAATAAGCAAGTAGGTATCTGGACCAACCCTTAAAGGAGAGCTGGGTGGGTCAAGACCAGACCTGAGATGAAGCCAGATTTTTCTCCCAAGGGCACCCATGTCTTGGGTAGGGAGGGGGGTGGCTCAAAGCCTGTCAGTCCCGATCCTCTGTCTTTACTGCTGACCCCCCCTTATCACC